GGCCCAAAAGTGGACAATGAAGTGCCAGCACTTAGCATAAATCTTAGACAAGGAGGCATAAAATTTTTTCCAGTTAAATAATTACCCCGAAAAATGAGCAACATTAAGTAATTGATAAAAATACCTTGTAGTAGATATTTGAAGGATGGATTATCTTGCCACACTCCGCATGAGGACCAATGCAGCAGGAATTCGGGACGATACTAGGGATTGTGGAGGTCCTGTTTGAAGTGATCTTCGAGGTTATTTCAAAACCCGTCCCGTACCAATCGCGATAATCCCTTGCTCCACAACAACGAAACTGTTTTTGGAGATCGTCTACAGCACGAGCTGCAACAGCGTCTGCCAAGTGGTACTCATTATGCAATTTTGAGATAAGCGCATCAGTGTTCCATCCATATGCTAATTTGTAGTACACAACAGCAGCCGTCGCAGCACAAAACTGCAAGACCAATGCAAGAGCTAAGATGATAGCATACTATCTCAAAGCATTAGATTTTCCACAGCAAACCCATTTTAAATGTTTGATTTCATTCTTTGATATCGCAACAAACCCAAATACACAAACAACTATCAACAAAATGCCAATGCATATAAGAAGGTAAGTGTTGACATAGGCCGTTTCGCCCAGTAACACTGGTAAAATTGGATTTCTGGTTAGTGACAAATAAATACCAAGGCCAATAAAGGCCATTGCGATACCCTAAAAACAATTACAAAGAATCAAAGTACCATCATAATTGCAGTAAAAAAAATCAGGAAAGTTTTAAGCCAGCTAGACGAAAGAGAACAAGAAGGCGCTTTCCCTTTTTCGGAAATATATTGGGAATTCTCGTTTAAAAGCCGGTCATGCTGAACCTGGTTATCACAACGCCCCATTTGTAGACCACCAGAGAAGAGCTTAGAAGCACCACTATTTACTTGACCTTAGGCGATTATTCGAATGATTAAAAGCGCATACATAGCATCTTTTATACATCAACATTATTTTATAACGCAAAATCGAAATTCGCAAATTGAAGCTACTTGTAAAATAATATTGGAAATCGGCTTTTGGTTGCTATTATTGTTCTTCGAGAAGTATCTTCCATTTGGACATTACCAGTTATCTGGAAATTTTCATGTAAAAAATTATGAAGAACACAGTGTCATTTTACGTCCCGAGACCTCCTAGCCAGTATAAGAAGTAAGTAGGTGCAGTTGATTACATGCATTCCGAAGACGACAGGGCAAATGGGACCTGAGGGTGGCCCGAAGGCCAGCCCAGGCCTACAATGTAATGCTTTGTTTATGTGACTATCTGACGTTTGGTGGCCACTTTAGAACTTGTCTGGGACGTGTACACGTGGACTGGCCTTCGGACCAAGCTCAGGCCCCATTTCTCCTATTGCTTTCGGAATACATGTATTCAACC